ACTGTATAGATTGTAGTAGAATAGGACTTGCATGTGGGACTGACCTACTCTCTTATTTTTCAGGTGTTCGTCAATTCCAGGGTTAGAGCTTGGACGTGCAGTGCAGATACAGACATTCATTCCTCCGACTACGTAGGAATCCTTTCTATGTTAGCTTTAGATTCTATTTCTGATGTTTTAGTTTCTATTGGGATTTTTAATAAGGGGTCCACTGGATGGATTCCCGAGTTGTTAAACTTATGGGGTTTTAGAGTATCGGATTTTAATAATTATATTTTGAGGATTTTAAATTAGCATTCCTTCAGTTTATTATTTTTACTTCTTATTTCACTTTGTATTCTGTGTTCGGTTACATATTGATTGTTTGATATTCCCTCAGGTTTGGGCCTGGTCCTGATCAACCCGTGTCTCGGATCCGAGGGATATCACAGTAGATACCGGGAGAAGAAAGAAATATCGAACACCGACTCATGCGCCACCTAAAGGTGTGAGTATTTCCTGTCAGGTCTCTCGGAGACCAGGTCTGGCTGTACTGGTGATGGTGAAGGAGATGATACATGCTCAGCCTCAGCTGAAGAATATGATGCGGTAGCCGAAAACTGTAGTCTAGAGTCAGCGAATGGGGACTGAGTTATATCTGCCTCTGACTGGTCCTGTATCTACTCTGGCTCTGGCTCAGGAATGGGGTCCTGGACATAAGATGGGCCTGTCTGGTCGTTTAATCTCCGCCTGACTCTGCGATGATAATGTCCACGGGCAATAGTCTTGACCCTAGCCATGGCCTGCAAAATAAAAGGAAAACTTGCAAAACAAGTCAGTAGCTGAATAAAGAAATAAGACATAACATATAGAAACATGCATGTCAAATAAGATAGACAAAACAGAATAAAGGACATGAATCTATGCAAGTGATGAGAAATAAATGACATTAAGTGACTTATGCTTAGACAATATAAGTATGGAATGCATCCAATGTGGAAAACATAGGCATTGGGCATGTATGAGATAGCATGGAATCACAAAAGATAGTGTGTGAAGTGTATATGCAAATCTGTGAAGTTCGATCGATCACAAAAATGTGAGATCGATGAAGTTAGATTGATCTGGAATTGATTTGGATTGAGTGAGATCGATGCATTTTCGATCGATCTGAGAAATATCGAGATCGATCAAATTTTGCAACTGATGCAAACTGTCACAGATCTGTGACTTTGATGACACAGGGGCACCCAAACAAGTTTGTGGGACCCACAACAACAACAATAACAACACATGAATAAACAAGTATCTTGGCCCACAATCTTCAAAATCGAAATCAAAATTAAAATTTATACAAAAATATATACACATATATACATATATATACACGCATGCTCAAAGCTTCAAATATGGAAAGAGATTAGACAAATATTATTAGTTTAAAATTTGTTATAATATATACAAATTATCTATTTATCTACTTATTATGAGTTTTTTAATAAAATGAAATCTAATTAGACAAATATTATTAGTATAAAAAATTATTTATTGATTGATATAAAAAGAGGTTTTAAAAGATTTTTTTAAAACTCTAACAAAAATTATCTATTTATATATTTATTATAAATTTTTTAATAAAAAGAAATCTAATTAGACAAGAATTATTAATATAAAAATTATTTATTAATTGATGTTAAAAGAGTTTCTATTAAACTCTAACACAAATTACCTATTTATTTATTTATTATGAGTTTTTTTAATAAAAGAAAATCTAATTAGACAATAATTATTAATATAAAAAATATTTTTTAATTGATATAAAAAATAAAATAATTTTTCTAAAACTCTACCACAAATTACCTTTTATTATGAGTTTTTTTTTAATAAAAGGTACCAATTTCAGTATTAAAATATATATTTTTTTATTAAATAATATAAAATATAAATATTTCAGTATTAATCAAAAAACCTAAAAAAAATTATTACTTTACAAAACTTAAACTCTACCACCAATTTCAAAATATTTCAGTATTTATTTATTAATATAAAAATATATTTATTAATTAATATAAAAAGAGTTACAAAAATTTATAATTTTTTGTAAGGTTTATTGTTGCAGGCCTCAATTCAACAATAAAAAAAAAATATTTATGAAAACAAAAATTTTATAAGTTACAAAACATTCATCACGTGTATCGCAATATAAAAAGAGAACTCTATCACATATAACATGTATTTCTCTATTTATTTTGAATATTTTTATAGAAAATAAAATAATTTGTATAATACTCTACCCCAAATTATCTATTTTATCAACTTCAAAATATTTCAGTATTTATTTATTAGTATAAAAAATATATTTATTAATTAATAGAAAAAGAGTTACAATTTTTTGTAAGGTTTATTATTACAAGCTTCAAATCAACAATTAAAATATATATATATATTGAAAACAAAAATTCTATAAATTATAAAGCTTTCACCACGTGCATCGCACGTGCCTATTCCTAGTGTGTGTGTGTGTATATATATATATATATATATATATATATATATAAAGAAGAAGAACAATGAAAGGTCTTTGGCCCAAACCAATCCAAAAAGACTTGGACAGCATAGAAGCCTAAAAAAAAAAAACACAAACTAAGGCCCAAACCCAAAATCAAGCAAAGCAAAAAGCCAAAAATAACGGCAATGTAGCCGTTAGTGCTGGTCAAGCAATACATGTGTTGTGACTGTTTCACTTTGGCTGTTATGTATCTGGATAAAAATAAAAATAAAAAATTCAGTCGCAGTTTTCTAGTAAATTTTATCACGATCAATGATTAATTTTATTACTATAATGATGCAATTTCACATGTTTAAATTTTGCTACTATTTATTTGTAAGTGAAATTTCACCATCTGGCAGTGAAATTCAGAAGTGATAGTGCTAAAAATCAAAGAGAACCGCAGAAAATGTAAGAAGGAATTTTTATCTTGCATATCTACCCCTCCATGAAGATGAGAACAACTGTATTGCATTAAATATGTGTGTAATGTAATGGCAATTGTTTTTTTAAGGTGGTAGGGTCATCTGTTTTGTCTCTTATGTTTTGTAGATGGACTTGGTCAAATATAGGTCCCCTTATTACTTTCTTTGTTTTGAATGTGGCATACTCTCCCATCTCAAACTTACTGGGGGCGATTTTTTTTATTATTTGTATTACTGTCTATATATTTTATTAAAATTTAAAAAATTCTCACACTAAAGTAATCGTCTCTCTTTCGTCGAGTAATTAGGTTCTTATGATTATAATTTTGTTTTTTGAAAATTTCGGGACCATATAATAATTTCTTTGCTGCACAATTTTGGTTACATATAAGTACCATGAATATTAACCACGAACATCTTGATAAAAGGAAAAAAGAAAAAACATCTTGGATTGAGCTTTATTATTTTGGACAAAGAAAAATGATTCCCACACCTATGGATCACAATCAGCTCATGGTTTCTGTTAAAACTTCCATTGGTGGGAATAGCATGGTTCTTGTACAAATATAGCATCAATAATTTACTTCTGGCATTCTCATTTAATACTAATAGCCTGAATTCAGTTGAGAAAATATGACATAACAGTTGTTTGCAATCAAAAATAAAAAATAAAAATAAAAAAAGTAAAATGATTACATCATCAGTTAACAGTTCTCCAAGATAGAATTAATGTTCTTAAAGAAATTGTAAGTGACAAATATTTTATTAAAATTTTGGAATTATTAATAAATTTTTTTGCTAATATTGATACTAACCAGATTTCACTTACTTGTGTGCAACAGTTGCGGCTCTTGAAACGATATAAAGGAAACTGCAGATAAATTACTGGAACATTAACCAAGCATTTTGCAGTGGGGGTAATGCTAAGACTGGGACTGTTGATGATCAAAATTTTAGCAATGTTGCTTGCAATTGCAGCTACAAAAACAATACAGTCTGCCACGTCACAAACATGTACGGCCGTGTTTTACTGTCCTTTACTTTTCCCCTGTAATATACATACATATATGCAAGGCATGCAAATAAGGATTAAGAAAGCGATACTAATTTAAATACATGGGGTATGATATCGACTTTATCTTGTATAGACTACTACCAATACTCTTTTGGCTGCATAAATCTAATATTTTTTTTATCACTTTTCAACCTTTTATGTATCTCGTCCATTGGGATAAGTTGGGTCTGAGGTTGGGATCCACCACATTTAACGGTTGAGCACTATGCTTAATTTGAATCAAAAGCAGAGGAGTATTTAGATCAATCTTACATTCCAATCCCAGGAATTGATCTGTGTCGGAAATGAGAAGTTCCAATGGTTTTGGTTAATCCGGTCTGAAACTTTAATTACTCTGTTACATAAAAGAGATCTGTTTTCTAAGCCAAGCAGTATGATAAACACAAACATAAATCAATGGAATATTGTCAGGTTTTGAGCTAGTGTCCTTCATGCTTCCATTATTAGTTTTTTCGCGGTTTGTTTAGAGTGTAGTCAGACTGAAATATATTATGTTTTTGTCACAGTGTCCTGCTATATCATAGGTCTAGGACACGACCTAAACCATCAACTGGATGGTGGATTTTTTGAATTCTTAAATGATGCGTTTGTCTCTGGAAATTGATGCGTTTTATTCAAAATTATGTGAAGTTGCCCGGCGTAAGTTTAAGACCTGCCAGGTCTGTTACTATGATCTGTGATAATAATTAACTCTTGTCTACCTATAGATATATTATATTACACTTGCCAAAAAGAAAGAACGAAAATATCTTATGTTACAATTTTGATTGCATATACAGACTATTCCCTGTATATCAATTGTGGAGGAAGCAATCCAACAAAATTTGAGGGGACGGAATATGAAACAGACTCAGAGGGTTTTCATGGACAATACTATCTACGCCAGTTACAAAGCAAATAATTCATTCTCTTACGTTATAAAGTACTATGGCCCCTACTTCACTTGAGTACTATGGCCTTGCTTGCGTAAAGGCAGTTATAAAGTGCGTCTCCACTTTGCTGAAATAATGTTTTCGGATGACCAGACTTATAGTAGCCTTGGGAAACGGATTTTTGATGTATCAATCCAAGTGAGTGAGAACCAGTTTTATTAATGTTAGTTGAAAAGCTTCTTGTGCTGATCTGCACAAACAGCGTTGCTCTTGTGCAATCCATGACTTTGTTAATTTTTTGACTATTTCATATAAACAGCAATTGCTTTCAGGACTCTCTCTTTTCTTTGCTGCTATTTTTTTTTTTTGGTCTCTAAAATAGAAGTTTTAACTTTTGTCTAGCTTGTGTTAATTTCACTTCTTCTGCAGGGGAATCTAATTTGGAAGGATTTTAAAATAGAAGTTATTTAACTTCTTTTTTTTTTTTTTTATCGGAGGAGGATTTGGACTAGTTTACAAGATTATTGCTAACGCAAGTTATTAAATTTTCATAACTATCTTGCAACATTAAGGTCATGTGTTGTTTTAAGCTTCCATGCCTAGAGGCAGGGTGGCAACGACAAGGAATTTAAATTTTTTCCACATATCATGTTTTTTATATTTAATTATTAGAAATTCTTTTTGCTTGATTTTAGGGTGTCTTGTCAGATGGTGTAGTAATCGCTGTTAAGCAGCTTTCCTCCAAATCTAAGCAAGGAGATCGCGAATTTGTCAATGAGATAGGCATGATATCTTCCCTACAACACCCAAACCTTGTGAGGCTTTATGGCTGTTGCATTGAAGGAAACCAGTTGTTGGTAATTTATGAAGACTTGGAGAACAATTGTCTTGGCCGTGCACTTTTTGGTAGTTACTTCCCTATCATGTCTTTACACCATTGTATATACGGCATAAGAGTGACTATTATGATATAACATGCTCTCTTTCTTATTTCTAGGTCGCGTGGAACACCAGATAAACCTGGATTGGCCAACAAGAAAGAAGATATGTTTAGGAATAGCAAGGGGCTTAGCTTATCTTCATGAGGAATCAAGGTTGAAAATTGTTCATACAGACATTAAGGCTACCAATGTGCTGCTTGATAAGGATCTAAATGCCAAGATATCTGACTTTGGCTTGGCCAAGCTTGATGAAGAAGAGAACACCCACATCAGCACGAGAATTGCTGGAACAATGTAAGTTTTTCTCTCTCACTTCTCCACCTTCTATATTTGTATGAATAATGCTATCAAGAGAACTCTCTCGTGACAAGAGTCACGAGTTCTCCATATTTAACTATTGTTTTGATAGCATTACTCTATTCTTATTTGCATCTAATCTTTGAGTATAATGGTAATAACTTGGTGTTAGAACACAAATAAATTGTTGTTGGAAGAAGATATAGATAAATAATCATAGTTTGTAAATGGAACCTAGTTAACAATTAGTTAACCATCACCTATCTGTATCTCCTTTCCCAAAGAGGCATCAGATCCTATGTAAACCCTATAACGGATCGCTATTGTCATATTGTACTGGTATTTATTATTTTGATGGGTTGTAACACTGATATTTCGATAATTCTTTGCTTTCCTCTTTCGATAGGATGAGAATTTCTCTTACTAAAAGATACTTCATATGTGAGACCGGCAGTGGCGTTGTAGTTGACTGTATTGTCTGCCTTTGTATCTTTAATGGGTAGTAACTGCTCCTGCTTTCAATATGCTATTTCCAAATTAGAGACCCTTTTTTCGGGTACCCACTAAAAGGGTTATCAAGAATAGTTGAAGAGATCATAGTGGATTGTTATATATAACTAGAATTTCTCTATTTACTTGTAATGGATTACAAATTATACCTTATTAATTGCACAATTGTTTAAGCTCTTCATTTATTTTTTCATTTTTGAAGAGGATACATGGCTCCTGAATATGCAACCAGAGGTTATTTGACAGACAAATCAGATGTTCACAGTTTTGGAGTAGTTCTAATGGAGACTGTCAGTGGGAAAAGCATTACAAATTACAGGCCAGAGGAGGAGTTTGTTCACCTTCTTGATTGGGTAAAAGTTTTCCATTTTGAGTTTTATCCTCTTTAATTAGATGGTATTTTGTTCACACCTCTACAACTTGCACTTGTTTACATGACTTCAAATGCACTCTGAAAAGTCCTGAAATAACTATACTTTTTCATGTTTTTAAGTTACTCATTTGGAAAGTGTGCATCGGACTAAAAAAAAAAGTTGCATTTTGTCTGGGTGTGGAATTGCAGGCTTGTATTCTGCAAGAGCAGGGAAACCTTCTAGAACTTGTGGATCCGAGAATTGGTTCAAACTACTCAAAAGAAGAGGCAATGAGGATGTTAAACTTGTCCCTTTTATGCACCAACGCAACTGCCGCCTTTAGACCATCCATGTCTTGTGTGGTGAGTATGATCGAGGGCAATAGCCCAGTCCAAGCGCCAATAGTCAAGCCTAGTTCAGAGAACGAGGATTCCAAGTTTGAAGCCATTGAGGAGCTACCACAGGACAGCCAGACAGGCGTCTCCACAGTCTCTCAGACACAGGTGGAGCCAAAAAATTTAATTTGGACTGTATAATTTAAATTAAAAAAAAAATTATAAACCAATTGTAATATAATACAGTAGTGTTTTTAATACTATTATTAGTATATATACCTTGAGAAAATCCAAAAATGAGAAAAATGCAACCTAAATGAATAGACCAAACACATATATGAGAAAGAAAAATATATAGAAGTAGAAACAAGAAGCTATGAGAAAGAAAAATATATAGAAGTAGAAACAACAAAAATATATAGAAGTAGAAACAAGAAGCTATGAGAAAGAAAAATATATACAAGTAGAAACTACAAGTTTACTTGAGGGGACAAAATTGTGGGACAAAAATAGTTTATTCATTTTTATAAAGTATGTATCATTGGACTCTAATCCAGATGGTATAAGCTCTCCTCTTTTTAGAGTGGTTAAATGTATGACCTCCAATAGGAGCAAATATATATAGCGGCTTGAACTTTGAATAGAGACTGGTATATATAATTTTATTTATTTTTCTTGTAAATGTCGGTTCATTCATTTTTATTAACACGGGGAACATTAGAGTATTTTTCTCTTTTTTTTCTCTCTTAAATTAATATAATGTATAATTATATGTGTGCATATATAGATGAAGTAATGATGTCGTGAGGGAAACACTACAATAATAATAAAATTAAAAGTTTGTTTTAAAATATCCGAGCCATGGATTAATTCCTCGATTTCTATTCAAATTAATAAGAATTAGTCTGTGGATGAGCCGTGTTTTGGTTCATTATTTACCCTTTAGCCTCCAGGTTTTCTTTGTAATTTTCTTTCCTTTTTGAACTTTTGGAATGGCAATTTTTGAAGAAGTCTTCTTCATGCTTATTTTAAATTAAGAATTTTGAACACTTCCATTCGGTATAAATAAATGCTTGTCATCATCATTCATCAAGACATTACACCAATTGGTGTCTCCATGCTTTAATTAAGCTTTTAAGTCCTTGATATAACTATTTACAAGCTTTGACCATCTTGATTGTCAAATTCCTATTGTTGAATGAGTAATGATATTTGTACCGATTTGTTGTAATGAATTACCTAATCGAAAGACATAGGTTAACAATTCACTATAACAAATCGCATAAATAAAGAAGTGGGGTCATTCACTTACATTTATTATGTATAAAAAATCAATCTGAAACATTCGGTTAAATAATTCACTGTAACAAATCGGTGCAAGTATATTACTCTTATTGAATATGTGTGTGTGTATATATTTTTTAGTTGGTATTCACACATCCCTTCCAAGAAATTATTTGTCCCCCTGAAATCTAATGGTTCATGAGATACCAAGGTCAAAATCATTTCCAACTAGACCAACCTCTTAAGATTATATATATATATATATATTAGCATCAATAATTATTTTAATACTACACTGAAAAGCTATTCTAAATCTTTTAAGGATATCAATAGGAAGGAATATAACATATCAACTGATAATGGTGACCTGAAGGGAAAATTTACTACAATGAATATTATGTGCATAACTTCTACGGTGAAATTAATAAACATTGGAAATATTGAATAAAATATAAATAAAATAGATTTAGTAAATTTGGTAGACTTGATAAACATGTGTATAGACTTTCTTAGAGTTGATATGTCCTTTTCCCAACATCAACTCCAATAAACTCAAGGCTGCTAGAATTTTTTGATAAAATTGTAATATTTCTTAATTTTTTTCATTTTCTATTTTTCTTGAATTTTTCGTTCATGCAAGGGTATTCTCGTCTTTTCTTGTTGTGCGTGCCGAACACCGTGGAGTGTGCCGATTGTGTCCGAGAGTTGATTAGGACATTTCATTGACTCCAGGACTCTTTGAGATGTAAGGTTGTCATTTTTGCGTTTTTTCGTTTTTTGGACTGAACGGTCCCATGTAGGATCCATTACCGGAATTGTTGCATACGAGAATTTTAGTTGAGTCCATTTGCATCCTATGCATTTTATTTAATGTGTTTTATGTGGTTGTGGATTGTTATGTATATGTGTGTGTGTGCACACGCGCGTATTTGTGGTTTAAGTTAATAAAAAAAAAAAATCTTATTTTAAAGATGGGATCCACATTTTTATTTTTAGAAAATGGGCCAAGAGGCCATTTCTTGGCCTCACAAATTTTCTTTTTTCTTTTTCCTTCTCTATTAAGCTTCAAATCTCAATTTCTCTCAAACCATTGAATGATTTTTGATGCGGTTTGTGGCAAATTAAAGAGCACGGTGAGATCTACACATCCATATAAGCAATTTCAGATTTGATACTCTCTAGGGATTCCGGTTTTGAGACCTATTTTAGGGATTTTTCATCATCCTTGAGTTAGGGGTTTCTAATTCCCAATTTCTTATTCCTTTGTGAGTCAATTTCTTGTTAATTATTGCTAACATATTTAATTGGAGTTAATTAACCCTAGAATGATTTTATTGTGGTGTATAAAGTTCTTGATTTTATGTGTTAATTGATGTATATGAAAAACATGCTTAAATGTTGATTTCCTATACCTATTATATTACTAATTGCTAGAAATGATGTATGTAAGCATGTATAATTTTTTTTAGAATTTCTTGTGAAGCATGTCTTATTTAAATTGTTTGCCTTGAAAATGATATAATTGTTGTAATATAAACTTTATGCTTATATGTGTTGATGGTATTATGTGAGAAGCATGCCTAAATGTTAATTTCCATGCCCTGGTGTTTATTATTTTCCTAGAAATTTCTATGAAGAAGCATGTTAAATTGTGAAGTGTAAATTTCCTCTATTTTCATACTATTGGAAAAATACATGACATGCATCCATAGCATTGGGCATGAAAGAAAAGGGGAAAGTATTTTGAAATGAAAGTGAAAGGGATTTTTTGGGAATTTTTTTATTTTGATATAGTTTTTGAGAAAACCAGGTCGTTGCGGAGTCACCAAAGGGCCGTGGTGTTAATATAGCCTAGAGGGAACTAGGGAGAGTACCTTAGCGTGGTTGAGCTATCTGGCCCCTAATGACGCCGCGGAGATACCAAATGTCAGGGACAGTAGCCAATCCTTCTCTCGTGTCGTTACGGAGTCACCAACGGACAGATTATATTAACAGTTTGAAAAACAATAGATTTGAATTTTGAAAATGGGGAGCGACATACATAACATTGCATATTATGGCATGGTATTGTTTATTTGAAATTGGAATTTATGTTGTATTCTTTTCCGGCATAGCATGACCCCTATCCTCTATTCCTATTTTCACTGGGTCACAAGAAGTGTGTCTTAGGCACTACCTACTAAGCAATTTGTTCACCCTATTACATTTAACATTTTTCGGGACACAGATGGCAAGTGGCGGACAACGCTCCTCCACAGGGTTCAATGGGTTAGTAGACCGTTTTGATATACTTTATAGCTATAATCTTATTTTATTATTTATTTATTTATTATTACTTTTTTTATATATAAATCCGAAATGACACGTATAATATGTATTGACGTTGGAAAGAATGGTGTTGTCCCTAGTTGACATCGGGTTCGGTTAAGGACCCGGCTAACGGTTCGGACCTACGGATTCGAATCGTTACAAAAATACATGCATTTTTTTATTATTAAAAGAATAAATATCAGTATGTGGTCCATGAAGCTGTTTGATAACTTAATTTAGTAATTAATTCCAAATGATTTAGCACTATAATAATTAAGTGTGTTTGATAGAGCAATTTGAATATCACTTAAAATGGGATAAAATTATAAGTGTCAGGAATATCAATTATCGCTGAATTCTTCTAAAAATATATTTATTTTTTAATTACTACTTATAAACATCAACAACCAATTCTTCAATGATTTAAATATCATTTGAAATGAAAATTAGCTTAAACGGTATGATAGCAAAGAGATTTGCATAGCTATGTTAGAAGCAATATTATGAGCGTATGAATGCTTCTTTGAACTTTATAACAAAAATAATAATTTGGAAATGGAATAAGCTTTTATTTCAATCAGTCATGATTGGTGAGTCTTGTGATTTAAATTGGCTACTTGAGCAGTTGGGCAAGAATTGGTGCATCAAAAAAAAAAAATTCAATTGCTTGGAATTTTCCATAGCCAGCCATGCATGAAACTGACGTTTGACTTCACCTTTTCTCTTGCTATAAATAGCAGCACTATTTGCAAACTTAATCTTTTACACCAATGTATATACGTTATAAGAGTGACTATAATGATATGACTCTTTCTTACTTTTAGGTCGCAATGAACACAATCTAAACTTGGATTGGCTAACAAGAAAGAGAATAAGCTTAGGAATAGCAAAGGGTTTAGCATATCTTCACGAGGAATCAAGGTTGAAAATCGTTCATAGAGACATTAAGGTTACCAATGCGTTGCTTGATAAGGATCTGAATGCTAAGATATCTGACTTTAGTTTGGCCAAACTTGATGAAGAAGAGAACACCCATACCGAGCAGCACTAGAATTGCTGGAACAATGTGAGTTTATATCCATCACTTTTCCGCCTTCTATATTGTTCTTTGCATCTATTCATACCTTATTAATTGCTCAATTTTTCATGCACTTTCTATTTTTTATTTTTCAGAGGATGCATGGCTCCTAAATATGCATTGAAAGGTTATTTGACAGACAAAATAGATATTTACAGCTTTGGAATCGTTTTATTAGAGATTGTCAGTGGGGAAAGCAATACAAATGACAGGCCAAAGGAGGAGTTTGTTTACCTTCTTTGGGTAAGCTTTCTTTTTGGAGTTCTCCTCTTTCGAGTCTTTTGGTTTATATTTCTATGGGCAAGCCCCGGTTGCTACATTGTGACTTAAAGGTTAGAGGTTCAAAACTGCAAACAGCCTATACCCATGCGGAAGTAAGGCTGCATACATCTGTCCCTTTCCAGACCTCGCAATGGCAGGAGCCTCCCGTAACTAGCCCTTTCGGTTTACACTTCTAGAGCTTGCTCTTGTTTCTCCAATTCTTAAATGTCTTCAGATGAAAAGGCTTCAAATATAATGATTCTTTTTA